TCTTTGTTGGTATGTGGTGCTGAGGATCGAACCCGGGCCGCACGCATGCCAGGCGAGCGCGCTACCGCTTGAGCCACATCCCCAGCCCCTTATTTATTTATTTTTAAAAAATATATTTATTTTATTTTTATGTGCTGCTGAGGATCAAACCCAGGTCCTCACACATGCTAGGCAAGCGCTGTACCCCTGAGCCACAACCCCAGCCCTCAAATTTATTTTTAAGTGATACATAAAAACATAAAAATCATATATATATGCACATATATATGGGATACCCTGTGATGTTTTAATACCTACATATGCTGCATAATATTTAAATAAGGTTAAACATATCTATTTTCTCAAACACTTATCATTTATGGTGGAAACATTAAACATCCTTTCATCTCTCTTTTTGAAATATACGGTACTCACTGTCCTTATCTAAAGTCACACCAGAGCGTCTTACTTCCACTAATTGTAATTTAGTACCCATTGATCAACATTTCCCCATCCCTCCCTCCCCCATTTGTCTTTTAATTATTGAGTCATATAGAGAAAAATTTTAAAAAGAACAAGCTGCTAACTTCCTAGAAGCTGATGTTTTTACTCATTTCCAAACTTGTTTTTGAAGTCTAGATTTTTTTTTCTTCTTCTTAGAATTGCATTTGAACATTCGTGTGAAGAGAATACAAATTTAACAGCAGAAGTTTCCTTTGCCCTCAGCTGCCAGGAAGAGGGAAAGGGGGGAAAAACAAGGTCAGCATTCATAGGATCCTTTGAAGGTGTTTAAAAGGTGTCAGTTGGGTTCTTCACTATTTAAACAAACACTGTGAAATTCACAGCCCTGGCCCAGAGAGCCCCAGGCAGAAACAAGGACTAGATGAATGGCTTGGAGAGTTGATCTTTGACTCAATTAGGCTGAATCAATCTTGTCATTGAGTTCCCAAGGAAATTCAATTACAGGTCAAGTGTAGGAAGCCCGGTAATTGTGGCTTAAGCAGCAGAAATGACAGGTGGTCGATAGAAGCCTGGGGATGAGTTTGACTTCACAGCCCCTGACTCTAGAGTGAGAAGAAAAAGCAGGACCGAGAAGGAAAACAAGGTTTGTGGAGTTGAAGAACCATCCATGAGAGGTTTGCCCCAAGCCCGGGAGATTCTGGACAGACAGGGCACTGCAATGTCACTGCTGCCCACACCTGCCTACCCAGTTAACTGGCCCTGACTGGGTAGTTAATGGGCCAGAGGGGCTTAGAGGCAGGCACATGAGGCCTTCCCAAGAGCTCTCAGCACTGCCATCTTCAGCTGAGTTGAGCTGTCTGTGTCACCAGAAACTGCACCACCCAGGCCAGGGCCAAGTCCAGAGCATGGAGCTACAACGAGTGGGGGCTCTGTGTGTGTGTGGGGGGGGGGCGGGGAGCAAAAGTCATGCTGGAGGGAGAGACCCCTCTCAGGGAAAAGGACATCTCTAGGTATTTCCCTACTAAACTGAGTGACGGAAGTGATGGCTCCCTCTACTGGTGACATAAGTATTGCAAGGGAGTCAGTAACTGTCAATCCAGAAGCTACAATTGAAAGGACTGATTAATTCCACTAAATTAACAGCAACAACAAATTTTTTTCTGTGTGGCAAAAATATACTGTATTATCATTTTTTAGCATGTTACCATTGGGGGATTTGGGCAAAGGAGACATAAGATGTGCCATATTTCTGAACAATTGTTAATGTGGATCTACACTTAAGGTCAAAAGACATACAATAATCTGAGGGTAAACATCTACAACTCATAACAAAGACCAAGGGCTTACTTTATAAAATACAAAGAGCTTCAAGAAATTAAGAAAAAAATATTAGCTCAATTAAAAAAATAAAACAAGCAAAGGTCATGGTGAGATAATCTATATCTATATCTATGTGTCTATATCTATATCTATATTAGATGTAGATGGATGCAATACCTTTATTTTACTTATTTATTTTTATGCGGTGCTGAAGACTGAACCCAGTGCCTCATATGTGCTAGGCAAGTGCTCTACTGCTGAGCCACAACCACAACCTCAATATATATCTTAAGTGCCGCCTCTGACCAGTACAGGCAGCTGAACTTAAGGTTGCTCTTGTGAATTTCCTGAATACCAATTAAAATGCAGACACACACTTTACCTTTAAATCAAGCTTCAGGACGGCTCCTCCATTCTCCGCCTCAAGCTCCCCAAATGGGAGAGTGAGGACATTTGGAAGTGAGCTTTTATTGGGGGGACTCTCATTCTTTAGAAAGTTCCATCCAAAAAAGGTCAGGAGGGGCAGGGTTACAAGGACAGGTGAGAGTAATTGGACCCCTGGGGCTGCAGGAAGGCACGCCTACTGCCTACGATTAAAGACACATTCTGCTACTGAGGATGGGGGCAATATAGAGGAGGTCACTGACAGAGCCTCTTCCAATCACAAGAAGGAGAATGCCAGTCATTCAGCGAGACCCCCCTCACACACACACACACACACACACACACACACACACACACTTTAGCACATGAATAGAAGTGAAATGCAAACTAAAACTCTAGTGAGACACATTTTTTTCCTAACAACTTTTTTCCATTGGTGAGGCTTTAGGGAAATGCTCTCTGACTGTTCCCTTTGGTGCAGCCTGAAAGACGCATCTCTAAGTTTTGTGCAGAAGATACAGATTCATGCAGAAAATGACATAAGTACAGAGATATTCATTCATTCACTGTCATAATAAAAGGGAGGAAATAATCCAAGTATCAAGTAATGAGGGAGCAGTTGAACAGATTACAGTCCAGTCACATAGTGGGCTAAATATGTGTGCCACATAGTAGTGGTACACACCTGTGATCCCAACTACTTGAGTACTGAGCTGGGAGGATTGCAACTTCAAGGCCAGCCTGGGTAACTTAGCAAAACCCTGTCAAAATTAAAAAAAAAAAAAAAAGATTCTCAAATTTATAGATGGTCCACAAAGAAGGGCAGAAGAATCTCATCCCCCATTTGTGGGGAAGGCAGATGAGGAACTCAGGAGTCCATGGCTGGAATAGTTGAGTCTGACAATATTAGGGAAGAAAGCAACCTTAAGAATCATCTAATTTTGTGTCTTGTTTTTTTTTTGTGTGTGTGTGTTTCTGGGGACCAAACCCAGGGCCTCATGCATGCTGGCCAAGTGCTCTGGTAAACCACATCGCTAGCCCCGTAATTCTATATTCTTATTTTTCAGAAAAATGAGGGCACCTAAGACCTGAGCAGAGAATGAATTCACTTGTCTAATGATTCATAGTGAATAGTGTGAAATAATCTCTGGATTTGATTTCTAAGGAAAGTAGCTCTTCAGCAATAAGTCTTTATCATTGACCAGGTAGTATACATCAGGTGAGGCCTGGTGCTATCCAGAAAGTTGATCACCCTATAGCTGAGTGGGTTACAGGTTCTGCATGGTATTTAGCTCCAGCATCTTGGTCATTTAGGACCAGCAAGGCCAGAGAGTGGCCCTTACTGAATGGCTTTATATCAAGGTGAAAGAACATGGAACTGATTTGTTCAGTCCTGGCAAGGCTAGGGAGACCCATGGAGATGGAGGAGCAATTCTTGCACTCAGGGGCAAAGGGGCAAGGGAAATTCCTAAGGGAACTAGGAGGAAAAAAAGACAGATTGGGGGCTGGGATTGAGGCTCAGCGGTAGAGTGCTTGCCTAGCATGGGTGGGACCTTGTTCCATCCTCAGCACCACATAAAAATAAAGGCATTGTGTTGGGTCCATCTACACCTAAAAAAATAAATATTAAAAAAAAGGCAGGGGCTGGGGATGTGGCTCAAGCGGTAGCGCGCTCACCTGGCATGTGTGCAGCCCGGGTTCGATCCTCAGCACCACATACAAACAAGGATGTTATGTCCGCCGAAAACTAAAAAATAAATATTAAAAAAAAAAGGCAGATTGTCCAGACAAATGAGGATAACACATTGTAAATAATTTAAGCCATTTGCAATGGACATAGTTCTAAAACACTTCCTGTCCTAAAAGCAGAGCCCACTGAACATAAATCAACTTTCCTAATGACTCGATACCATGATTATAAAAATAAATCTCCCTGAACCAAGAGCGATATTGCATGCCTATAGTTCCAGCAACTTGGGAGACTGAGGCATGAGTATTGCAAGTTCGAGGCTGGCCTCAGCAGCTCAATGAGACTCTGTATCAAAACAAAACAAAACAAAAAATAAATAAAATGAATGAAAAATAGCTCAGTGATAAAGTGTCCCTGGGTCCAATCTCCTGTACCCCCCTCAAAAAAAAAAATTATCCTGGATTATGACAAAGGATGGTTACCAGGGATTCCCACTGTATGCAAGTTAGTCTTTCCTCCTCATTGCTAATAGATTTTTCTTTTTAAGCTCTTGCGTTTGATTTTTGTAGCTTGTCTGTCCTTTGTTTCAGCTGCCATCTCCCTAGCCTGGCAACACCTGAGTCTAACTGAAAAGATTTGGAAAATCTTTGGAAGCCCCTTATCTATGAAAAAGCTGTTCTTTAGGGTCTTTCTGAGTCCTAGCCTCCATAAATTCTTTCTATTCCCCCTGGTCAAAATTCATGACTCCCATGCTTGGCCGCTATCATGACTTGCTCAGGGCAAATGGAAATCCAGTTGAGCTGTGGCTCCTCTCACCAACTTCCCTCTCCTTTTTTGGTCTTTGTTCCTTGCTCCCTATACAGCCTTCCACTGCATCCATCTCTTACCCATCACCAAATCTTCATGATATGGCCTTTAGAATACTGAACATGGTAAACAAACTTCTCAACATAGATTTAAAAAATGACT